TCGACAGTAATTATAAGTTTCTGAAATAATTGCAACAATATATATTGTTATGAACGCATTGAATTCTACTGTTTTTCATCGTTTGCCAGCTACTTGTCAACTGTTTCGTTTCTTCACGAAATCGTTGAGCAATCAACATGGACACACATTTCCAGCCAGATTTCGATATGTTCGTAATAATAATATTCCACGAACATGTAATGTGTTCTAAATAAATGCATCGAAAGAAAGAAATATCAAATGCTTGACTTACCGCGCCTGTTGGCGGCCCGTCGTCTGAACTATTTCTTGGCTGCTCCTCCGTCGCCTTGTTGTCCGTCTCCTTCATTTCTCTTTGTTCTTCTTCTTTCGATTTTCTTTGCTCTTCTACCACTTCCATCTGCATATAAAACGATTTATTTATTTTTTTATCGTAATTACTATCATGTAATAATATTATTTTATTATATTCATATTGTTGTACATACCTTGCTTAATGCGGCTTCGGCCATGGTTTCTCTTGTAATGACGAACAAACGATGATCGCGATCGATGGCGAGTCCCGATCATCCACACACATACAGGGTGTCTCACAACTCGTGTAACTCAAGGTAAAGGGATGGTAGAGGATGTAATCTTCACGCTATGATTGGTGCATGCTTTTCGCTAATAATTAAAAAATGAAGCTTCAAAGCCTATTTTTGCAAAGGGAAATCTTATTCAGAATTAAATCCTCTATCACTCCTTTACGGGAGTTACACGAATTGTGAATGCATGTTACCGGAGTACATAAGCAGCCGGTATAACAGGGGTATGCCCATTAGGGAACCCTCATTCATTATAGAGGCAAGAGAGCGCTTAAGCGCTTGAAAAAGCGAAAGAGAACTGTTTCAGAATCTAATACAGAGGTTGTAACAGTCCGGCGTCGCACTGTACTGTAAAGTGCAGTACCATCGACCTTTACCGATGGTTGACAATTGCATTCTGCAATTGTACTCATAGATCATGCTATCTATCGAGTTTGTGGACGCTGGTAAACCGCAAATAACTAAAAGCACTTTAAACCCTTTCCCTTCCTATAAAGCAGAACTCGTAATTAGTTGCACATTTCGGAGCGATTCCTGAGTAACCGCCCACCGTACCCACACTCTCGCTGTAGACTGCCGTGTAACGTCGTTCTCCAGGGGCATCGTACGATAGATTTGTCAGAATCCAACCGTGAGTAAAAATTTTGCTTGCACTGTTAATAATTTTTATTGTTACAGATTATTAATGTAATTAATACTATATTTACGTCTATAAATATCTTACATATATACATAAAATAACAATAATATATGTTAGATATTGTTTTTATATATCACGGACTTCGTTCATTCTTTCAGCATCCTCGCCTTCCCCACTCTGCGGCCACGTCCATAATGAACATCGTTCCCATTCATAAATCGTTCAAGGACAAAATACCAACGGCTAATTGACTTCAACGATTCCCCAAAAATGCATTCAAGCTAACATACATGTTATAGTAATTATTATTGTGCAAGGGCAGTGGCGTTCTGGGTGGGGGCCCAAGACGCCCTGCACGCTGCCCCAGGGGGGACGGTGGTGCCTCGGTGGTTCGGGCACTGCCGTAAGGATTAGTTTTGGTTTTATGGGAGGGAGGTCTTTTCCGATCTTCCACGGGATGACAGAAATGGTACAGAAGCCCCAGTCGTGCTCTTTAAGAGTTCCTGGGGTCTCACTCATGGGTTGGAGAAGGACCATCGTGGGGGTTTTAGTGGGTAAAAATCCCACATACCCCCGCGCCCTCCCCCAAGGGTGCGAGATATCTTTG